AGTAAAGAACAGATTCTAGTTCTTTTTGGTTAAGTCCCACCAGGGATTCGAACCCACCCTGTCTATGTGTACAAGGGAAATCCAGCAGCATGTGTACCATGCGGGTGCAGAGATTTTCGTCCAGTAGACCCAACAAGTCGCCGTTAAAAAATGTCATGGTGGGATATCGTGGAGGTTAATATTGGTTAACGCCACAGTGATCAACAATATTATGCAAGCGTATAAATAATTGCGACTAGATCAAGCGAACCAGTGACAGATTGTTTGAACAACCAGTCGTGAGCATAAGCTATAACCCATCTGTATTGTCGAATCTCATGAACACAACGACGATATTTTAGTGTGCGTATCGGTACACATTACAGTAATTTGTAACAGGAATATTATTATGATTTTATCAACAAATGTCAACTAGTTACATTTAGAGTTACGTCCCTTCCTTGTGAAATAGATTCCTTGAAAATAGACTCCACATCACCTTGGAAAGATGATGTGCAATCTTACAACGGGCTCGACTAAACCTGTAGTTAACCCTAGTCTCTAACGCTAGTCAAACACTGGATACCTTCTTTAGCCTCTTACTACAAGCAACATGCCTGGACCGCCTCCAAGGTCTAGTGAATACAGCGGGAGAGCTGGGTGGATCACCGGCGGTGTCATATTAAATAACGTTGAACACCGTATATCTTGTAACCATTCTAGGCAGGGACTGGCCGACTTGTAGGCAGTAAACAGTGTCTCACTGGGATGTCAATGTTAAACTTTGGCAAACGATTTTAGTGGGCTAGCACGATAAAACTGACGTTAGTCCGGACTAACATGCACACGCTTGTACAGGCAAATAAAATTACCATTAGCCTATGTAACCGCCATGAATGTTGTGTCTAACAGTCCCTGAACCATCACGAAAGCCCTTAATCAATCAAGGCTAGATTTTCCTCGGCTTCAGGTTCACAGGGGTAGCCTCATCTGAGTTAATTTCATTATCAAAATTATATATTCGGAGACAAAGCGCTAGTCTACCCATCGACCACCACATCAAGATGGATCAGACTTCCTGAATTGGCTCATTACCTCTTTCCCGAGAGTAGGTATTGTTGCTCACGGTTTCTGTTTATTGGATTGCCTATACCCGTGCTTGCTTTAGCTGGTGAGTGAGTTTGGTTTCACACCGTCGTCAACAGTATTTCAAGGGCTTGTCAACTGGCTCAGGGAGAAAACCCTGGTGTGATGCATTTATGAATCATTTAGCATTTTGGTGAAATCTACAAGCAGCGTTATGGCATATTAACAAACACTGGAACATGGTCATGGCGATCGGGGATTCAAACCCATGACTATAAGTGTCTGGTCCGCCATTGCACACATATTTGGCCAGACAATTGGGCTACCTGTCCGATCACGTAATCCGATGTGATCCGGATTAAGTGTTACACTGGATTTGCTGGCCCGTTATAATCAGTTTTAGTGAGCTCAGTCACTTGCCCATTGAGTGAACACTGTTCTACTGATCAGGTGACATGTTATTTATTTTAAGTGAACGAATTCACTAAATGGTGTATAAGTAAGAGATGAAGTTGCTTTCTGTCATTACAGTCATGGCAAATGCACAAGTTCCTCGTTTCGTTCCTAACGGTCGTGGAGGTCAATATTTAGTCTCCTTTGGTTACAAATGTTGTATTAAGTATAGAAACGGCGACAGAGTCGACTGGGAATGTTGTCAGAAGACTTGTCGTTGCACCATCAACACACAGAACAACCTCGTGACAACGTACAATAATCCCCACAACCATCCAGCTGACAACAACTGGATCCAGGTCGATGAATTCATCTTTCATCTGAAGAATCTTGGTCAGAAGTTGTCCAACCAATTTTGTTACAATTTGTTATCCTTTTAACCGTTTAACCCTTATAAAGATATAATCTTATATTACAAGGTTCTCCAGAGGTGCCCTTTACATAAGAACTACAGCTTGAAACAACACATGTTATGGTCCAGTGCACAGATTAACTACATGCTGTCACCTGCGTCTGCTTAATGGATTTGCCCAACAGAAAGCAAATAAATATGATTTAATTTATTTGGCACTCATTTACATACATCTTTCACGCTCACATTACATCCAAATACAAAACAATACAGCTAAGGGTTTTATCAATTTAACATTAAAATGCGGTCTGGTCAGTAGGTGACTAGACAGAAAAAAAGGGTTAATATTTAATACCTTGTTTCCACAAGTCATATCGTAAAGCAAAAAGTGAACTTCGTCCTCAATTGTATTGCCATCACAACATTTACAAATTCTGTCATCTAAAGGTGTTTTAGGTCGTCTAAATCTACCGACGTCTATTTCCAGAGGTAGGGTAGCACACCGTAACTTACTATGTATACTGCGATGAGATCTAGGCAGGATTTCAGTGACATATGGGTCTGCTGTTAATAATTTCTTAAACTTTCTTTAAGTACGGAGTTTATTCCCGTTACGTTTCCCTCGGTCGTTCAGAAGTTCTTTACTTTCAGGTTATTAGATTACCTTTACAACAAACATTAGGTACTGGTCAACTAGACTGTATCAGGCTACTCTACAGTGGGGATTATAAGCATGTAGTTCTTCTGGGAGAACTGATGGGCTGTGCTCATTACATGCAACGGGGGTGCCTTTACTCCCTAATTAATCCCTGTAGTTAATTTGGGTTGTAGTTTAAATGGGATGTAGTTCTTATGAGAGTAAGCTTGGTAGACGCATCTCATCATTATACAGGTCGATGATCATGACAGCTATCACTGGACTGTCTGGTCCAGACTTGAGTGTGGCGTTAAACAATAAACAAACAAACAAACACATAGAAATGCTTCATTGTTATACACTTTGAGCAAACAATCAACATCAATGGTAAAAATATATGACGAAGGGTTTCACAGCGTCAAATCCACATAGCTGATTTCAAAGTTCCAACCATTTCACATCTTCAAGTTGATGTGTCTTGGAGAACCTATAACATAAACAAATTGTACATTATAAACATATGGAATTTACTACGACTAGAGAAGGGCATTTGGGTGAACAGATAATTGCGCAATGTAAAGTGAAGACATTGGACATAATACAAAAATGTTTCAAATAATTTCAAAAGATAACATACGAGAAAGGAATAGTAAACGAATCTGACCACTCTTTATCGTAATATCAAAGCTACCTTGGGTCACGAAATATGCTTACATATTTTACATCGGGACTTTAAGGATAACTCGCTACGCTCAGAATATCTGCTTACAAGTAAGAAACTAGCGGTCACGCTAATATAGATAAACATTGTACATAATGCAAGATATTAGACTCTCTGAAATTGATTTTATCAATGATCAGTTTCATTACCCACAATACTAGCCAAAGTAATAGACATAAATATTTTACTGAACTTGGCCGACACAAACCAAGTGACAATAATATGTAATAGTTGCTGGAATGTAATAGTAACACTAACACCTAAAACCCCTGACAACCCGGAGAACCCTGGCAATGAGATCTATAGACTCCGCTAATGTAGGATGTAGTATAAGTGTAATATATCATCTTACCTTTGCAGCAACACCTGTACATTATGTATGGCAAGTGGACCGTGAAGAGAAGAAAATATAATTCAACAGATTAAATGTACACAATGCCATGAAGTATTACTAATCTAAGTGTTAGAAATTGTTCAGCTATAAAGAGCTATTACATAAATAGTTAATACCATTCTACTACTAATATCATATGGTAAAATATAACACAGCAAGGCAAAATCGTAAAGCAAACAGGTTATGTGATTTGAATATTTGATGAATGTGTAATGACCATTCATGGATGATAATAAAGTGAAAGTATAAATAAAGATTGAAGCAGAGATCCACAGCTGAGAATGGTAATACCATGAAGCTAATAGTATCTTCAACCTTGTAACGTGCAGGATGACCGTTCTTTAAATGTAATCTTTATAAAATATAAACAATTCTTGCATAAATACTAGTCACTTGTGTAACCTTATGATTAAACTTTTCGCTAGCCACACAACTGATAGTTGTGGATAGGATATGTCTATATGCGGTCTTAAGCAACGATCGCCGCTGTATGGAGAACATATTTGTTGATATACGTGATACAGTCCTGTGAAAATGTATAGCGTGTTGAGTCCATGAACAATTGAAGAGGTATAGCGTATATAAGCTGGTGAAAAGGTGGATATAAAATTGACTCTTGGGTTAGATGTAAGTGACAAAGGGAGACAAACGCTGGAGTAAGTGTACAACAAGTGAAAGATAATATAACTCAATGCACGCATCACTCTCATCTCCTCACACACAAACACCTCTCTCATGATGTACCCTGAATGTTATCAACATGTAAATAGTCAAAGTCATCGTAAGGATACAATACACACTGTGGCTATAGTTTGAATATTGAACATGTGAAAAAGCCATTGTAACTATTCAATACACGTGTAATGACAAAAAATGACTTCCTTTAATTCCCCCTTACACTTCAATTACTAAAGCAGCTGACAATTGCGTCAATGGAGCCGTTTGTGTCAGAGATCCATTTACACATTTATATATTTCTACGCGCCTGCATTTCAAAACTACAAATGGAATCAATCTAAAAAATATACACAAAGAACTTAGATAAGCATCCCCTGACATATCTCACGATTGAATGAACCCCGATCTTAACCCTGTGGAGCATATCTGGGACATGAGCAACAAAGAGATATCTTCCTGTACAGAATCTGGCCCAATTACCTGCTGTCCTCGAACCGGCATATAACAATTTCAGATACCGAGCTAGTTTCTGGCACAAGAATGTCTGATACTGGACCATTGACGGGAACCTGCACATAGAAAACAACTTACAACTTTCACGTTATCACTGTATGCATCAACATATACCATGCAAAGGAAAGTTTATTCACTCAAGACTATAGCCTTTGAACATATTGGCTTATTACAGTGTTTAAAAACTCCAAGCCAGACAGCTGGACTGGTAGCTTTAAAAAATTGTCAGTCCGGATACAAACATGCCTGCCTGTTTCGACAATAAGTTGAAATTACACGTGTTGTGATTGGTTATCGTAACATGAACTTTCCAATCGTAAGTAGTTTAACATAATTTTCATGATACCTTAAACAATTCAAACTGACGACAAGAGAACCTGTTTGATATTATCAAATATTTTGGGGTAAACATATCCTACCAGACCACCGGACAGGCTACTTTTGAAATTTGACCGTCCGAGATGAAAATAAATCGTTCCGGACGGTGGGGCAAGGCGGGAATTATATAACGCTGCTTATTATTACAAGCGGAGACCTGACGGAAACCTGCACATGACAAAAGAAACTTACAACTTTCCGTTATCACTGCATGCATTAACATATACCATGCAAAGGAAAGTTTATAAACTCAAGACTATAGACTTCGAGAATATCGGCTTATCAATAAAAGCGGAGATCTGGCATTTCAAAAGAAACCAATTGAAACCACAGAGAATCACTTCCTCACATATGTAGCGTCTAAACCTTTGAACAAATACTTACTTCATAAACAGAAGGATTTTGTGGATCAACAGTGCCCCCAATCTTTTGGAAGACTTCAGGTTTGTCTTTTCCAGCTGGAACGGTTACTGTCACTGGATTTGTACTTGGTGTAACTGGTACAGTAGTGAGGAAAACGAATTTGCCATCAATGGTGCCTTGAGCACTGCTAGAGGTATCAACTGGTGTCCCACTGACAGTGAAGCCATCAGGTTTGTCATTAGTCACCAAGGTAATCTCTTCAGTCGAAGTCTTGACAGGAACTCAGTCATCTAAAGAGTTCAAACAAATACTTTATTACCTTCGCTTGAACATGGTTTCAGTACAATCAAATGGTACAAAACAAATCTTCTTTGCAGTCATACTTTCTTCAATGCAGTATTTTCACGGACACTATTGAAGCTGCTCGTCAGCATGGTATATAGATTATCAGTCAATCTATGAGCATTTATACAGATCCAAAATGTTGTGTACGTTGTATTTCATTCAGCACATACTCTCAACACACACATACCAAAGGATGTGTTTGTTTCCTCAGGAGGCACTGAAGTGAAGATCGTTCTAGATGTGACCTTCACTGTGTCAACAAAGGGTGACCCGTCCAAAGGAATTTGCTCAGAGGGTCGCCGGATGTATTACCGACTGAGACTGGTCCCGGTGTTGGTGATGGGTTGTCACTTGGGTTCATCAGATCAATCCGGTCACATAGGGTCGTTTCTGTGAGGATGTCATACAACTATGGGTCATAACATCTCCTGGTAGTATTTGTGAAAGCAGGTTGCAGTGTCTTCATTTATATTATAACAAAAAATTAAAAACACATCGGGGATATAACAAGCACATTATAAGTTGTATGCCTTCTCGATGGTAGCACGGTCTTCAGACCGTATTACCCTCGAGAGAAGCATACAAACGTATTTATCTTACCACCATGTTAAACTACAAAATATAATTTTATGTTATTTTGAAGATCGCAACCGACTATATGACATGTAAAACAAAATGGCGTCTGCCTCTCGACTGGATTTATATAATCAATGAAACATATTCCGAGAAGCTTCATACCGCTATAAAAAATGGTTAATTATGTTTAAGTTGAGTGTGCAAACGATTCAATGTATAAAATTGTTTAAATAAAGCCGAGAGTCGGTGAAATAAAATTACATAGTGAACTCAAAACAGCTAATGGAATAGTTTTCAAACTCCGGGCACTGCATGCGTCATATTATGACGTCATACGATTGTAAGCGATACAAGTTCTCGGCAGAGAGTTTGGCGGTTACCGTGGCAACGGCTAATATTTTTCCAGTTGTCACCCTCCTATGGACATAATTTTATTTGTTTGTCAGGCATTAACAAAGGTTAAAATGGGGAAAAGGTATCAAGCTCAAAAGGTATTTTTTTTGAGAAAGCATTGTACAGTGACGTACAGCAAACATTTTATTACTTAACCACAACATATACTAGTGACATTATCTCTTTTACCCGTTGCCGTTCCACTTGTGGTTGTTGTATCCGTGGTAGTGATTGCTCCAATTGTGGTTGTTGTATCAGTGGTAGTGATTGCTCCACGTGGTTGTTGTATCAGTGGTAGTGATTGTTCAACTTGTGGTTGTTGTATCCAGTCAGTGGTAGTGGAGTGATTGGTAGTTATGATTGGTCCACTTGTGGTTGTTGTATCAGTGGTAGTGATTTCTCCACTTGTGGATGTTGTATGAGTGGTAGTGATTGCTCCACTTGTGGTTGTTCTATCAGTGGTAGTGATTGTTCCACTTGTGGATGTTGTATCAGTGGTTGTGATTGCTCCACATGTGGTTGTTGTATCAGTGGTAGTGATTGCTCCACGTGGTTGTTGTGTTAGTGGTAGTGATTGTTCCACTTGTGGTTGTTATATCAGTGGCAGTGATTGCTCCAATTGTGGTTGTTGTATCAGTGGTTGTGATTGCTCCACTTGTGGTTGTTGTATCAGTGGTAGTGATTGTTCCACGTAGTTGTTGTATCAGTGGTAGTGATTGATCAACTTTTGGCTGTTGTATCAGTGGTTGTGATTGCTCTTCTTGTGGTTGTTGTATCAGTGGTTGTGATTGTTCCACGTGGTTGTTGTATCAGTGGTAGTGATTATTCCACTGGTGGTTGTTGTATCAGTGGTAGTGATTGTTCCACTTGTGGATGTTGTATCAGTGGTAGTGATTGCTCCACTTGTGGATGTTGTATCAGTGGTAGTGATTGCTCCACTTGTGGTTGTTGTATAGGTGGTAGTGATTGCTCCACTTGTGGTTGTTGTATCAGTGGTAGTGATTGTTCCACTTGTGGTTGTTGTATCAGTGGTAGTGATTGCTCCACTTGTGGATGTTTTATCAGTGGTAGTGATTGCTCCACTTGTGGTTGTTGCATCAGTGGCAGTGATTGCTCCACTTGTGTGGTTGTTGTATCAGTGGTAGTGATTGCTCCACTGGTGGTTGTTGCATCAGTGGTAGTGATTGCTCCACTTTTGTGGTTGCTGTATCAGTGGTAGTGATTGCTCCACTTGTGGTTGTTGTATCAAGTGGCAGTGATTCTCCACTTGTACGGATGTTGTATCAGTGGCAGTGATTGCTCCACTTGTGGCTGTTGTATCAGTGGCAGTGATTGATTCACTCACTTGAGGCTTGTTGCATCAGAGGCAGTGATTGCTCTTCCTGTGGTTGCCTGCATCAGTGGCAGTGATTGCTCTTCTTGTGGTTGTTGTATCAGTGGTAGTGAGATTGCTCCCGTGGTTGTTGCATAAGCGGTAGCGATTGCTCCACTTGTGGCTGTTGTAATCAGTGGTAGTGATTGCTCCACTTGTGGTTGTTGTACATCAGTGGTTGTAGATTGCCCACGTGGCTGTTGCACTCAGTGGTAATTGATTGCCCCCCGTGGCTGTTGCATATGGTAGGTATTGCCCCACCTTGTGGTTGCTGTATCAGCGGCAGTGATTGTTCCAATTGTGGTTGTTGTATCAGTGGTAGTGACCGCTCCCGTGGTTGTTGTATCAGTGGTAGTGATTGCTCACTTGTGGTTGTTGTATCAGTGGCAGCGATCGTTCCACTTGTGGATGTTGTATTAGTGGTAGCGTGATTGCTCCACTTGTGGCTTGTTTCGTATCAGTGGTGGTGATTGCCTTCTTGTGGTTGTTGTATCAGTGGCTGTGGATTGTCCACGTGGTTGTTGTATCGTGCGATAGTGATTGGCCCAATTGGTGGTTGTTGCATCGGTGGCTCGTGATCACTCCACGTGGTTGTTGCCGCATCAGTGGTAGTGATTGACCCCACTTAGTGGTTGCTGTATCAATGGTAGTGAATGCACAACCTGTGGTTATTGCATCAGTGGTAGTGATTGCTCCCACTTGTGGTTGTTGTATCAGTGGTAAGTGATTGCTCCACTCTGTGGTTGTTGTATCAGTGGTAGTGATTGCTCCACTTGTGGTTGTTGTAATCAGTGGTTGTGATATTTCCATCTTGTAGTTGTGGATGCACTGGTTGTTGGTGTTCCACTTGTGGCTGTCCCTAATGGAAACAATTGAATTATATATCAATTCCAGAATCTGTATTTCATCAACATAAAACAGGACATTTAACCATTGTCGTCATCAGACAGTGCGCACCGTGACTTACTGAGGAACAAAACCCCATCTCAAAGCACTCATGACAGGAATACAACAAGTACCTTCTTTTTAGCGTCTGTAGGTATGACAGGCCCAGGTGATCAAAGCATCAGACTTTCGCTCACCTATGTGACGCTATACACTTATCCAAGAAAACTGTAGACAGACATGTACAAAACAGCCGGGAAGGTTGACAACAAAACGATGCAGATGAATGTCAATAATGAATTTAACGTTGATGTTTGCATACTCTTTTATTCCTCTTATAGTGTATACTTGGAGTGTCAGGTTGTCCTTCCACATCAAGTTGAGAGGCCGCGTGGCATAACTGACATACTGCCCAAGGTGATGTTAATCTAACACACTTACACATGGAAGAAGTCACTGGGTTGTTAGAAACAGGTATGGAAAGTGTTGGTACATCTGAAGATGTTGTGTCCGGGAATTGTATCATGGTAGTTAATAACCCTAAACAGACAGTATTTGGCTTGTTTAGATATTTTAATCAGATTTATTAGTCCCAGGTCCTCCAGAAAACAAACTAGCTGACATCGTCGTATAGTCTTTTAGTACTTTCAACAGTACTCTGTATCTGATAGCTTGCGATGCTTTAGAATTGAACTGAACATTTTATATGAATGATAACTATATGACGTCAACAGAAAACTCCCCCCCTCGATATACCCTTAAATGGATAAAATAGCGGTCAATCTTTGCAATGCAAAGGTCTCTACAAATGAGGATGACCCCAGATTTTACCCGTGGAAAGAGTAAGCGGCTGTGCTGCTTTCGCCAATCCATTAGGATTACAATAATAACTGACTGCCAGCCAGGCATCAACCACAACCTGTTGTAACATTCA